CTGAAGGTTTTATCATTTGCAGGAAGGACTGAACTTCAGATCCCATCAGTGTGAATACAGGTTTAACGTTGGCGGAGCTGTAAACACCAAGGCCGGCAACCGTCAGGCCGTCTGGTGCTGAAACAACAGTACAGTCACTGTTGTTATTTGTCCAAGTGCACCGTGAATGAGACTGACATTGATTTGTCCAAGTGCAATGTGAATGAGACTGACATCATTGCTGGAAACCTTAAAATACCATGGCTGAGCAGGGGTGGTACCATGATGATGAGAAGAAGGTGCACCAGGACAAAACAGAAAACCCAGCACGTGTGCTCCCCGTCGCTCTGCAGGAACAGGACAAGGCTCAACCTTGCTCTGCCCAGCTGCATGATAGAGAAATAGCTCCTCCAACAGCTGCAGGTCCTCACCTCGCTGGCATAAACACATCACCTGCAAGCAGGGGGAAAGGCACCCACAGGTCTTAACCGGACCCTGTGCCGCACCCAGAGGGGACCGATTTGTTTAAACAACAGTAAAATCAGCTGGCACAAGTCTGGTGGCTTTACAATCCCCACTTTGCTTGGAAGCAGAAGTCCAGCGGGGAATGCCCGCATCTTTGCTGCTCCCAAATCCTTTTTCCCACTCACTTTGAGAGGGCACTGAAGGACTTCACTGCTTTTTTTGCTCTCTATTCTGTGCTGGAGCCAAGATGCACAGCGAGACCCTGAGCTCCGGGTTGTTCGGATGTGAGTGACCTGGCAACACGTCTCGTTCAGCTCAGCAGGCTGGACTCAGCATCCCTGCCCTGAGAGAACGGTCAACGCCAAGGGACCCTCGGACCCACACTGGGTGGGATGCTGCCATGATGCAGGGCGCCACCATCGGGGCAGCCCTGCAGAAATGCTATGAGTGAAGCAAATGCCCACGGGGTGGGAGAAGGAAAGGAAAGGGGAGAACGGAGAGGGGCAACCAGGCCCTTCCTCTTGGTGAAGGGGGAATAAAAGCAACCTCCCCCCACTAGCAGCAGAAATAAGCTCAGCTGTACTGGTTGCTCTTAAGTTTCTTGGCACCATCCACACCCTGAGGATGGTCCCTGTGGGACCACAGGCCTCTTGGGGGCTCAGCACAGTTTGTAGCAGCTGACGGCTGGTCATGAAGCCCCTGTGTCTGCACTTGCAATGAGGGAACAAGGAGGAAGAAGTGACTGAAAAGTGGCCTCCACTAAGGACCTAACAGAAACATGAGGAACCCACGATACCCTTCTGCCAGTATGGGATCAGACGGAGGTTTGACGAGGACTGAGCTAAGCCTCAACAGGAATTCACTATCTCCTTGAGAAGGCTGCAAAAAGGGACGCAGGGGCTTTTTCTGTCCCCTCAGCATCACCCTTTTTTGGTTTCCTCAGGCTCCCAACTGGGTCCTGCTACAAGGGATGGGAGCTCAGTGGCTTGGATTTCAGCCCATTCCCCAGTGGAAGGGCTGCTGGGGAGACTGCAAGGATCTGGAGAAGGTGGTAGCTACACGCATATCCAATGCTCTCCCAGCAAAGGTGGTAGGATCAGGCAACAAGGACTCAGATTTAACAACCAGGCCTGGCACTTCCAGTGTAACTAACAACCTGCTGCACTAACAGCAGCGTCCAGCAGTTCCCTGTGGCTCAGCTATCCACTGCAAGAACCTGGATGTTCATGGACGGAACCAAATAGGCTCAGAGTCCAGCTTACCAAAGCTGGTAGGAATGGACAACAGCACCATAACAGTGTTGGGCTCCTAACAGAAAGCTGGTTTAAAAAAAAAGGGGGGGGGGGGGAGGGCAAGAGGGTTGCATAAAAAAAATGCAATCTTGCAAAAATAACTGTAACCTCCCTCCGTGATCCATTACACGTAGATTCCTGGTGGAGGCTCCACGTTTCCCAGGAGCTTGGCACAGCCAGCACCTCCCCTGTGTTATAAAAACAACCCCCCTCTGGGGGATTCCCTCCTGCTCTGCTCTATAAAACATTAAAAAGGTCCCTGCAGAGAGTCCCCAGCCATTATTCCTGCTTCGGCCTCTTCCTCCAGCAGGCCAGGAGGGGCCCGAGGCTGTTCCACACCTCTGTGTACATGAGAGTCCCCACGAAGACGAAGAAGGTGCCTAGCCAGTGCCAGGCCGTGAAGGGATTGCGGAAGTAGAGGATGGAGAAGATGAGGCTGACGAACTTGCGTAGTGTCACCACCAGTGTGACGGTGAGGGAGGTGCACTCCGTGGTGAGGATGAAGACACCCCGGATGCAGACATATCTGGGTGGGCAGAGGTAAGGGGGCAAGGGGGCTGCAGAGGGAGGGTTGCCTGTGCAAGCCTTTGGGAATGCAGAAGGATGGGGCACTAGATTAGCCCCACCACCCTCTTTCTGCAGCAAAACCACATTGTGACCTCCTCCCAAGACACCCTATCCCTCCTTGGCCTTGTAGCTTCCATCCAGGCTCTACAAAGCTTTTACAGCCGTCCCCAGGAACCCCCAAATTTGTTTCCTCAGGACCCTCTAAAGCTAAATAATCCCCCCCCACCACACCATACGTTGCTCTTCGTTTCACAAAGCAATCATAAAAGACAACAGCGTTGGTGCCCTGAACAACGTCACCTTTGGGCAACAAACCCCCACTCCTGCTTGAAACCACTTGCACTTTGTAGGGGGTTGTTTGTAGTCCAGCATTCCTCAAAGCTCCCAAGTGGGAGAGGTCTGCCTGCCTTGGGTCATCTCCTGCAAGATGCACGCCTTACCCTGCACCCTGCTCCCTCCCAACAGTCACTAGCACTCAGTGCACCCTCGCTCTACTCCTGCTGTAACATGCATTGCAATGGTGCTGTTATGGGAGTGCTCAAAGCCGCACACCAGATCCATTGCCCGAGGCCTCCCTGCATGGTAGTACTAACCCTTTTCTGCCCTCCTTCCCCAAACCTAGTGGAAATTCTCTTTTAGTTATTGTCTTCTCCTCAGGTCAACATTTCTACCGCCATGAACACCTTCAGTACAAAACTTAGGTGTACTCTAAATCTCCTGAGCCTAATCCGAGACGGCAAAACTGCTGCACCAGAGCAGCTGTGGGTGACATGCTGGCAAAGGTAAATGGCAGGGTTAACCGCACCAGCATGTAACTAAGGGAAGCCAAAATAAGACCTCTCCATTTCTACCCTGCAGCAGATTAGCAGCTGGGGAGGAAAAGAAAGTTCCCTCTCCTCGTCAGGAGGGCACACACAAGGCAGATTCAAGGAGGAGGTTTCATGGAGGAGCATCAGAAGCAGGAGCGCACGGCGCTCCCTCAGGTAACACATGGGGGGCTGGACAAACATGGTGAGAGAAAAAGAGCACGAGGGAGTTGGACTGAACCATCCCTTTTCCTAGGGCATCTCCTTCCTCAGACTTGCAACCTCTCCTCACTGACTGGGAGACTGCACACGCTGATAAATTACGAATGGCTCCCAGTCTAGCCCCTCTAACAAAGCTGGCTAGCAGAACAGCTGTGAGATGAGTTTACACCAGCTAGCCCGGCCCTGGGGAGGTGGTGGCCTCGCCTTTCCCCTTTGGCCCTTTGTGCTATACTCAAATTCAGAGAACCAGAACAAGATGGGCAACAGCCATCTGCAACACGCATAGAGCTGTACAAATTTGTTGCAGGGGAACTTAGCTGCTCTGCTAGCAGATTTCAGCCATCCTGGAAAAAAAAGAAGCCCCAAGTTAAAATTCTACTCCGCTTTCTCCCAGAGTAACATGAACATCAGCTCTCAAACGCAGGGAAGGCTCAGGACTCTCAAACCATTCCTCCTCCCCCACCCCACTGCCATCTCCACAGCTTGTCTGAGCTGTGCATTCAAAGGATACTGAGTGATGACGTTCATGAGGAGGTAGAACCACATGATTGGCAGGGTCAGCCCAATCACTGGGACCTGGAATGGCTCTGCAGGGAGAAAGGGAAGTGAGAAACTTGCATCTAGACTTGGATCAACTTCCAGCAGTGCTGAGTGTGTTATGCGGTTCCCTTTGAAGAGAAGCCACAGGAGGCCCAACAGCCGATTCCTATCCCAGAGATATCAGCCATGTGAGAGACCTGGAGTGGGCTTGCATGGCCAGAGAGCAGGATCAGAGAGCAAACCCCTAGAGATGGGAGGTCCATCAACATCAACATGCTGAGGCAAACTCCACCTGCTGTAGGCATGGCTGCCTGGGACACACTACACCTGTGTGGGCTAGGAGGGACTGCGGTCACTACCCCGTTAATGCTAAGGACAGACGCAAGGAGAGGTTGAACATGCCTCTCTCCTGTCAAGGACAGACCATAATCTGTGACATGCTGAAGCTCTACGAGGCTTTTGCTGTATTTGCAGACCGAAGCGCGGCCACATTTTGATTTTGCTCCAAATTACCTTGTTCTTACTGCAATAAATGACAAATACAAGAGAGTCTGTAGATGTTTCAGCATGGACTTCTGTGAGGAGGAAGGGAAGATGGAGAAAGAAGTAGGTTAAGGAAAAGGACTTAAAAAGAAAAGATCCGTCTTGTGTCATGACTCTCCCATCGTCAAAACAGAATTAATGAATCTTGCAGTACTGAATTGCTCGGAGAGGCTCACAGTCCCAGCCTGGGAAAGCCTGCACAGCACGAACAAAACCGAAGCCAACAGGTCAGTGTTTATGCCCATGGCTGAGAATTTCTGTTACTCCTGTTTTTGAACTACCGTGTTCCCTTCCCCAGGAGGCACATACTTCATGTTTTCATTAGATTTTCCTTGAGGAGAGGGGTGTTACTTGCTAGAAGTACTTTGCAATGACATTAATGAATAGGTTCAAGTGATCTATGCACGCAAACCTCCCTCCTCCCCAGAGGGGAATACAGAACTAGTGAACCCATCCAGCAAAGATCCCAGCAGTTTCTCAAAATCTGGAGCAGAACATAGGCAGCTCATCTACTTTGGAAAAGCCTAGTGAATTTTACTATTAAACTTAGGTAGATACTCAACTCAAGGTGGACAAGAAACCTTGCTGAGCCCAATGGGTGTGTGGATACACTCGAATCACCAGAACGATTCAAATGGTCACTCATGGCTTAACTTTGTCAGCTGCTGCGGCACAAGGTGAACGGCCCCAGGTATGGCTGCGTGCAGCGTCAGCAGCCCACTGCCTGTGGCCGGACTCTTAGCAGTCATCATCTATCACTTGTTCAAGCATCTGGCCCACCACAGAGAAGAGGCTGGACAATGTCCTTGAGGCAGTGTGTTTTTTTTTTCTTTCCCACCTGCCAATTCAAAAGCCTTGAACACCTGGAGGCAATAGTCTGACATGCACAACTGCTGAGGGCAGAGGGCAAGAGCTTCCTACAGCATTTCCCAGAGGAGAGAAAAGGTACAAAAAGCAAGGATCTATGTGTACAACACTCACCAGACTGGCTGAAGAGGACTGCATGGTGGTAGATGTTTGGGGCAAGGAGGAGAAAGCCAGGGAGCGGTAAAGCATGCTGGAGAGAGAAAGCGAAGGCATGACGTTAACACATTATGGGAACGCTCCCTCCACTTCCCATCCGGAGAAACCGGCCTCACACATCTCCACGGATGAGGGCACACACTTCACTGCTCCGCTACTACAGAATGTGATCCTTTGATTTCTTGTCCCAGGAAGGCTGCCTGTCTTTAACATGTTCCATGCACCTAGGGCACCAAACCACCCATTCCCTCTGAGGAGCAAAGAGGGAAGACAGGATCAAGAGGAGTCTACTAGCAGCCCACATATGCTGTAAGCTTTCCTCCTGACCCATTCCCCTCCCGCAGCACAGCTCAGCATCTCTCTTCCCCCTTCAGCTTTTACTGTGAAACTCTTACCTCCACATCTGCTCCGTGCAAAGCACCATTTTACAGAAGTCATCAGACTGCTGCTGGAAGGGGGTCTGTGCAGTAATTACAGTGGAATTCAGAAAGTCAATACTTTCATCAGTCTGTTTAACATTCACTACATGGGCTGCACCTCCATGGGAAACTTTTAGGAGTCTGAAAACCACATGGAGCTGAAACTGTTCTAGTTTGAACTAGTTCACAGGCTGTGTATAGGGCTTTGACTGCAGGGTGCGAGGGGAAAGGATTCTCGGGAGCTGTGTCTGTCCAGGGAAAGCAACGGAAAAGATATGGTGGCTTACATTGTAAAACAGGGCCTCTTTGGAGTGCTTCCCAAACTGCTTATACAGTGTCTCCTGGAAAATCCCCATCCTGGCAGACATGAGGAGGGCGAAGGTGAGTGCAGCAATACCTGGAATAGAAACACAGCCTTGCAGCATTGCCCGAGCATGGCACCCCTCAAGTCAGCCAGCTCAGGGACTCCCGCGATTTGGCTTTTGGTGAAAGAAAACAGTGAGAGAAGCCAAAACATCCAGAATTGGTAAGATGGGGGGAATGTTCAAAATGGCCTTGGGGACATAGGTACCTTCTTACAAAGGCTTCTGTGCACAAGAGACTTCTGAAAAGATCAACTCTTAAAAATAAGGACTCAGACCTGGCAGGCAGACTTGGTGGCTGCCCAGACAAAGAGATTACCAGGTATAAGGTTGTTTGCCATTTGTGTTAAAACATCGACCCCATGTTCCCCCAAAAGCCATAAATAAATCTGGGTTGTAAGTATAAAAACAGACTTAAGTGCGAGATTGCAGAGACTCCTCCACAAAATACTGGGCTGAACGTACACCTAAACCAACTACAGCCCTACTCCTCACTGCAGCATAGCTGATAGCACGAGATAAATCAGGCAGGGCTGCTTTGTAAGGAGAAATTAATCTGATGTCTACAAACACGCAGGTCAAATTTGTGTCTGATAGAAATGTACAGAGTTAGGCTATTAAAATGGTGGCTTTTTAAAAAAGACAAAGCCTGCCCTGACTTCAACTGAGGTTGAGATGTACTTGTCATGACACTATTTCATGGTTACCTGCACAGAGAACTTACTTTCCAGCCTGTCTAGAGATGGGAATACCTGGCCTCAGAGCTACGCTGGCAATATGGAACACAGGCTGGAGTCTGCCCTTCATTTAATAGTAATATGATTTTCCATTTATCGCTGGGAAGTATTTGCAAAACTGTAGTCTCATTCTGTTACTATGATGTCACTCTCCGATCGAAGAGTGGTTGGTATATTTGACTTGATCAAACGAAGGGAACTTCACTGCACTGAGCCGCTGAGCGCCACAGAAATGCCATTCTTTGCAAACCAGCACCCTTTAGGTGCTCAGCACAACTTGACCTCAGTTCTGGGAGTCCCACCGCAGTCTGCTAAGCGTAACCACACAGCCAAGGATCAGTCACCAAAGAGCAGAGTCCTGTCGGAATCCTAGCAAGGCTGGCTGGAGATGTGGCACTCACATACCTAGCAACCACCACATGAAAGCACGGAGTCCGTCCTCTTCGTTTAAGCCGGAGTCAGATGCCTGGGGGAGGCAGACACATCACACAGTCACTGTGAGCCACGAAGTCCTGCAGTTCATTCAGGCCTGTCTTGACCTCCTGGTTGGTTTGTGTATTGTGTATTGTGTATTGTAAGTAAGCCCATAAATCAAGGAGTGCCCAATGTCTCAAAATTCTCTGGAGTTGCTTCCCTGGCTGAACAGAGGAGATGGCAACTACAGCAAATTTCGCTTTCATCTTTCTTTTGGGGAACGCACCAGATTCCAGCGAAAGGGGAAACGTCTGATTGAGAAAGGATCTCTCTCAAGCAAATGCCCTGGCATGGCCAGAGACTGAACTTTTTGACAGTGAAAACAGTCAGTGTCTCCTAGCAAGCTTTCACAAACAGCCTGTTGGCAGGAAGCTGTCCCCTTCTCAGAGCTGGGTGTGCAGGAGAGAACAAGAGCTCTGGCCCAGTCCTGGTCACGTAGGTAAACCAGGGCTCTAGCTTGTGACTGAGATGTTGAGGGAACCAGGCCTGTAGATGCTGCCAGCCTAGGGCAAACTGCTAGGTAATGTGACTTCGCTCAACTCCCTCTCGCTATGGTTTAGAGCAAGTTACATTGCTCACATTTGCCATGAGCTAGTCACAACTCTGCGTACCGTATCAAATCCCCGTGCCTGCTGAGAGTCAGTGTGGATTAACGCAGAGCAAGACTGCGTAGCACAGACCTTCCTCAGATACCCCAACAGTAAAAACATTTATTAAATGATGGGATTAAAAGGTCTGGCAGCCTTGCTTCATTTCCAGACTCTCATAGATGGATTAAGTGAAACCAGTTTTCACTCGACCACCGCTTTATGCTACTTTTCTGTCTTTCGTTGTCAAAATCAAGATGCGCATGCTGACTCAAGAAAAGTCCAGCCTGGTGTTACACACAGATTTCCTTCACTCCCTCCTGTTTCCCAAGCACATGCACTTCGTTTCAAGGGCCACAGAAAGTCACACTGGATGACAACAGGCTGGAAAATTTTAGCTTGAAAGCTGATAGTTTGTTCTGTGATAAAGACAGTGAAGCTTTAAGATGGTTGCGTTTTGTCTAAGATTCACCAGCTCCTAACTGAAAGACATCCCAATAAGGGCAAGAAAAAAAGAGCTTGCAGCTGTTACTGTGTGGGAAAAAAATAATGATTCATTCTCAGCAAAAAGCAACCAGAGTAGCATGGGATAAAAGTCAGCTGTAATTAAAATTAAATCATGTGCATGCGTGTGTCCCTTCTCTCCTTCCCACAAGTAAATGAAGCAGCCAGGAACAAGTGCTTTTGGGGAGCAGATCTGGAGCCAGGAGAGGTCCTGTCTCTCCACTAATAACCAATCAAAAGCAATTACTGATGAAGGTGCCCAGGGCAGCTCTTCCTGTTAATAAGGTCCATGGCTGGGACCTCAGGCTCTTTATAATACTTACCACTTGCTTCGCAGACATGAAAGTGCATGTAAAGATTCCCACGGACACCAGGGCTATGGATGTGTATTTAGATACGCTGTATCTGCACAGGGGGAGAACAGAGATGTCAGCGACCCAGCCTGGCCTTGTGTTGTTCATCCATTACTCCCCAGCATTACATTTTGCTCCACTGAGCCAGTATAAACCTGAGGTAATGGGCATATACTCGCTGTTATATAACCTAGTACGTGGTTGGGGAGAGAAGGCCAACATACTCCAACCACAGTAAAAAGGAACATTTGGACCAATATCTCCTTGCCTGTGGCAAAGCATCCCTCTCCGATCAAGCCAGCATGAGTCTTTCCATAGTGATGGAGTGGCAGAGTACGTGCCCACAGCCGGACTCCGAGCAGCAGCAGGACCCCGCTGTCCTGTCCATCAGGAGTGATGCTCACACAGGCAAGAGGAGAGAAAAGGGCAAACTCATAGAGCTGCAGCCCTGTTTAAAGGCTCTCTTCAGACCACACTTGTCTTAAATGAAGGAGCGAGGGTTAGTGGGAGGGCAGAAGAGGAAATTACTCAGGTTTCCAGCCCATGCCTTGACCATTTCTTCCCATATATCTGTGCTGCTGCTTCCCCATCGATAAAACAAGGATATTTAACGGGAAAGGGGAAGTCACTCAATACTAGCCAGGATTAAATCAATAGCAGAGCTTTCCCTGATGAAACAAGAAAGGTACCTGTGATTTACCTTTTTTTCAAAATGATGATACCTAGAGCCATGCTTGCTATGAGAGAGCCCTGAGGAAAGGAGAAGGGAAAGAAGGAGAGAAACAAAACAAAAGGTCAGTTTGTCAGATTTCCACGGGTTGAGCCTTCTGCCCAGAGAAACACAGTGCAATTGATACAACTAACACAAAAACACCAACAAAATGCCAGGGCAGGAGCAGGGAGATAGGCAAGGTCGGAGGAGTCTCATTTCAGCTAGGAGCAGGGGAGTAGTCAAGCTGGGTAACTTGGGAATAAGGATGCTGGAGCAAAAAGGCTACTAGGACCTCCTGGCCAGCAGGTCTTCCCCTTTCTTGGCTCTCTCCAGTGCATGCTACATCACAGCACGCAGTCAAATACCTACGTTTTCAATTGGGAACAGCAGTATGGCTCTGTAGATCGACTGCAGGACACTTGTGGGCTGCTACACAAGAATCATTCCCCGTGGTTAATGTGGGACAGGGCGCTGCCTAGAGCGCTGCCTGTCTTTCTTCTTTTTAAAATATCTTTATTTCATGTATCTCAATCCCATGGCGTGTAGTGGAAGAGCAGCCCCTGGCCCAGCAGATCTCTTGAACTCAGCTGTTATTTCCAAAAGCCAGGCTCCATTTTCTTTGATTTTAACATACGTTTTAGCCAGACACTCATCTGCAAACACTCAAGTGAAGAAGACAGCATCTTCCGGAGCAGAGGTCCATGTGATAATAGCACAGGTAGAAGACACCTACACTAGGACACAAACCACCTGGTTTAGCTGTGTGACGGAAGTGAAAGTTGTGTCTCTCTGGTCAGCAATTCAGCCCATCCAGGGTTGACCGACAGCCAGAGTCTGGGCTTGGTTTTGCCATCGTTACTTCCTCATCACCTTGGAAAGGTTGTAGCCTGTTTGAGCCTCAGTTTTCTCATCCATCCAGAGACATTAAGGGAATAACCTTAATGGTCAACACTGAAAACAAGAACCAGAGCTGAGCGTTCAGAGCAAAGTTGCTCTCCCTACAACTTAGCCATAATTTAGTGTTTGCCCAGGGTTGTGGTGTCCACACAGAATGAGAGGGGGGCAGAATAAGCGTGCCAGGAACAGTGCTTGCAGAGATGATGGGAAGAGACATCACATGAGGATAGAAAGGACATTATGGCAGTACTCACTGATCTGAAGATCATGTGCAGTGGCATGGCGATATTTAAGTTCAGGGCATAGTTATTCACCACGCTCACAGTGAAGAACATGGCCACCATGATGAGATAATACCTGAAACAAAAAAAACCAAGGTGGTGTTGGCAAAACTAGCTGATGGCTGGGCCTGTACCTCCCACATCCTAGGAACACGCTGGATGGTGCAAGAACAAGCCTGGAGCTGAGGTGGGGCCCACCTAGCTCTTGGTTCTGTGACATGGACTAATAAGGAAATCAATCCCAGTGTGGATGTAGCAGGGAAGTCCTTAAAGGAGGACGTGAAGACCTGCACCAGCTTAGCTCGTGCTAATCCCAAAGGGAAAAAAGCTGAAGATACACTAACTGGGATCTCTTAGCATGGACTTCCTGCAGACACTGGTCTAAGGACTGTGGTACAAGACAAGGCTTGATTTGAGGAGATTCAATTTCTGCCAGCAGGCACCGCTACCCTTAGTGGAAGGAGAGACCATTTAAATCTATCTATCTCGAACACTTCCACAGCTCTTTACCTAGGCTACAGAGCCATCCCTGCTCTGCAAAGTGGAGCTCCTAGCAGTGATGCAGCCATGAATGGAGCTAAACTTGCCCTCAGCTTTCTGTCATGAGGATCTCTGCACAACGCTCTGTTTTGCTGCCTGCTAGACAGTCTGCCAAAGAGCACCACAAAACCTCCTCACTTCACATCAGCCACAGAGTGCCAGGGAGGAGAGCACAGACATGCCAGGCAAGCGCCAGGACAGGATCAGCCCTGATGGAGAAGTGCGAAAGAGGATGTGGCTAGATTTCCAGTAAGTCTCTCTCGCACACCCATTGCACCAAGCCCCAGATAGACAATAAGTGCTTTGAATGCAGCAGACTCGTACTGTGCAAAGTAAGGCCATGCTCCTTGGGTAGAAAAGTATCTGATAGCAATTTCCTATTAAGGATTCTCAATAAACGAGGAGTTCATAATTTACCAGGCATGACAGGTTCTCAGTGAGGCTTTGCAATGCTGCAGAATGGATGGGATTTAGACAGGATAAACGATAAGCCTTTTTATTAAACACTTCTTGAGATAATAGACAGTCAGTCAATTTGTGCCTAAGCATTTAGATCAACTATACCTTATCGGTATGGCCGGCCGCTTCCTCCCAAAGTTGGCTTCGAAGATAAAGCCTTCCACCGCGATAAATAAGAACTGAGAAAACGTCACTATGTTCCCACATCCTGGAAATCGCCTGCAGGTGTCAAGAAGAAAGACAAGCCTAAGTCCAATGCCATGGAATATGAAAACCGCACCGGGCTGCAACAAAAAGAGGTTAGCAGCTCACGTTCCCAGAGCGAGCATTAACCTGGATGGTCTTTACTGCCTTGTATGTCCAGGTTCTCATGCTTTGTACTGAACTTTCCAAACTCCACAGGGTACTGGAAGCCCCACAAGGGGTCCAGCCTCCAAGAAGAGGTCCTACTGGCTGAGCATCTTTGTCCTCCCAGAAAGACATGAACACTGCAGTTATCGCTACCTTGCTACCGGAAATGACATCACCTCTGAGCAAATCAGCCTTGTGTGACTGATTTGAGGGAAGAGGAACTACATGTGAGGGCAAGACAGCCTGCAACAGCCTGACATTAAGAAAAGACTCCCTGTACGCAACTATTTCTAGCAGGCATGTGCACCACAGACTTTGTCTTCATCCTAAGAAGCTTACGGGGAGCAGAAGATTTCCCGGGAGGCACACGATCAGTTGCAAGCTCAGATGAGGCCGTCATATGTCAGAAATCATGCACAGAAAGCTTTTTGTCATTGCAGCTGGAAACGCAGGAACTCGAGTGAGCACTTCCTGTTTCTCCAGTGCAAGCCAGAAATGGAGGCCAAGGACTCACTGGAGAGGCTGCATGGTGCTGAGCCCCAATTCCCATACTGTTGCACAAGCACATGGTTTGCTCATCCAACTTGCAGTCACAAGTAGTTACCAGTTGGGTTTAGACCTGCTTTTGCAGAATGCAAGCTGAGGGGCTATGCTGGAGAACAGGAATAACCAAATTGTCTCCTGGGTGGCAAAACTCCAGGCCCGGTCTCCTGCAAAATCTTCTCGGTCATCCCCCCAACTTCCCAAAAAAGGCAGCAGTGTTCTGATTGATGGAGAGCTGCCCAGGTGCTGACTGGCCTGCCAACACCCCTGTGCTGACTTGCCTGGCTGGCTGCCACCAAAAAGCACCTGGAGAGGCCACCATCTCCCTGCCCGTCCCATAAGGCAGGCACTAACCTGAGTCCCTCCCCTCTATCCACCTGACAATTTTCACAACATTTTTCAGAGATTAATCATCTATGAGACTTCGGGCCTTGCTCTGAAATGTAGTTAGGAGGTTCAAGAGTTACTTTAGGGAAGAGGAGAAGTCATGACCGAGGCCAGGCTGCAGGACTGTAAACCTTATCTCTGTAGGAAAACAGAAAGCAAGCGTAAACTTGGAACAGACCAAGATCGTTTTCATGCATTACTCTTATCGTCCTCACAATTCACGGATCTTTGCATTCAGTCTCTTGCTGTACATATTACCTCACATTATCAATAAAGCATTGACACAGGGTTATGTGTTGACTGATAATGAAAAGACAAACAAAAAAAAACAGGCTGCACCTGCCCATGTCTTTGACTCAAAATCCTAACACACTGATAGACTTCAAAGAAAAGACAGGAAGTCTGGAGGTATCAACCCACAACTGCTTTAGCTGCAGCCAGCTAACATAGAGTCCTCCAGAAGCAATGCAGAAACCCTACTAAGAGACAGCACTGTAAAGAGAGAGCCACGCAAAGCACACAGAACAGCATTACTCCAGCAGAGGGGACTCACCAAGGATATGACTGTCGATCTTGTAACTTAAGAGGGCTCAGCTGTGACTTGGGAGCCTGATCTAGACCTCAGAACTTGCCCAAGCAGTCTACCAGTGTTTAACTTGGTCTCCGAGGAGACAGGGAACAGCTGCTAGACCACAGCATGAGGCCAAAGAACTGACCACAAAGCCAGTAGCAGCTCTAACAGAGGGACATCCCAAAATTGTCATCCTGCCTCCTAGGGCTGAATTGCCAGGACTGTTGATGTCTAGCAGATGGTTGGATGAAACAGCCAGAGCGGGGCTCTCACAGCCACGCTCAGCAGAGAACGAACGTAATAGCTCAATTCCTGCACGTCGGTTTGGGAAACCTTAACGCAACACCCTCTCCTTCGGACCAAGTTCAGCACATCCAAATCACTCTTCCAAGCCAGATTTCTATCCGTTACTGCAAAAGGTTCTCCATTTCATACAGAACTCCTTTGATGGCCCCCGCTTACCCTGCAGAATAGTGAGACACCCCCCCCCCATCTGCACCATAAAGGGAGGAAGTCCCATTGAGATCTACCATGTGGAGCCTCAACCGTCTCTTCAGGGAAGACAGATCATGAGGACACAGCTTCAGAAGGTAAAGTGCAAAATATTGGCTTTCTAACTGGGCCTGTACACACATCGCACACATAGCTTGGGCAGCACCTCATCACTCTTCCCTAATCCCACCATCAGCTGTAACCTGCTGCTCGTAACGATTTTTGCAGAGCTCCACTGATTCGACGGCCTCTGGTTTTCAACCCAGAGGCAGCACGTTCGGAAATGGATGTGTCTAATGACCCAAGGGTGTGGGAGTACTGTTGTTGTCACTGTGACAATGGCTAATTAAGTTCTGTCTGTGGCTCCTGCACGGCTGTAAAGACAGACTCCCAGGGACAACTAGGAAAGGATGCTAGCAGAATGGGTCAGATTGATCCAAACATGGAAGATGCAATGGACTGGATGGCCTTTCTAGGCCCTCTCCAGGCATCTCTCTGTTATTCTGACAGGGGCTTCTTTAACTTGCTCTTGAAAACCTCCAGTGAGGAGTTTCGATGCTCTCCTCAAGGACCGACTCCACTACATTCAGAGGGAGCACACCTGTTTTTTGGTCTGCTTTAAATCCCTTTCACAGGAATTTAAGCCCATTATTTCTTGTCCTGTCTTTAGCGGCCTGCAGAACAATTTATTTCCTCTCCTCTGCAGCCACTCTCCACGCATTTGAAGCCTTTTGTCTTTCCTCTGCCATCTCTAGACTAAACAGTCCTCATTCCTTCACTCTTTTCTCTTTCCTCATAAATCCTGAGGAAATTTCTTCCAATCACCTATGTTGTTCCTCAGTAGACTCTGGGGTCAGCCTCTTGTGTGATCCTGCTCCAGGAGTACATGACTTTCCTTGTCATGGGCAGATTCATCTTCCAGAGGGACTTTTCGCTCCAGACAGCACCAGGACATAGAGAAATACCAACTGTTATCCCAGTTTAAGGACTGAAGGTGAACAGGACAAGGCAGGAGAACAGGAACGTAGATGCTAGGAACAGAGGAATTCCAAAAGTAACAAGAAGAAATGTTTAAGAGAAGCTTGTGTCTGAAAAGCAGCTTCCTTCCTAAGTAATTGCAATTGGACTTCTCGGATTTGCTGCTCAAAATCCCTTCTGGGGTTTAGAAACCTAATCCACCCCTTTGGGCAGGGCCAAGCGGCTCGCTTTTATTTTGAGGTCTGGCCAGAGGAGGTGGCAAAGCCACTCAGGAGCACATAAAATAATTTTAAACAGATGGTTTGAATCACAAAAGCCACAGACAAGTCTGGTGGCAAGCAAAGGGAAGAACCCGCATCCAAGCTCTCTTCATCTCGAGGGGATTCAGACTATCCCTCCTGTCTCCCAGGGCAGCAGTCACAGTGCCAACGCAGAAAACCTGCAGGAGACCTATTTCACCTTCCTTGCTGATGCTGCAGCACAAGCGGACAGGAAAGGCAGAGACTGACTAAGCAGCTCAGTGGTTAGAGTAATCACCCAGAGGAAGGACAACTTGCCTGGCAAGATCTCTCTTCCAAGAACTGCTTCTTGATTTATGCAGCAATTGCCAAGTGCTTGTGCAATCTTGTGCCAATGGAACTGTGCCCTGGCTTCCCATTTTTAAGCAAATATTCTCACCGCTGGGTTACAGAATCGGGCCCTGCTTTGCATTCCCTTTTTCCCTGCCCGATCTGGCATGGGGAGGAAGCAGGTACAGGTTTTGACTGCTAACTTCTGAAGTCTGGGCACGATGGTAGCGCCCAGACACGGTACTGAACGGTCAGTCAGGGGATGCCGCTCCACACTAACTTCATATGATTGCAGACGCACAACCGGTCCTGTTACTACTTTTTTTTTCCGGTCAGCTCTAGCACTTTTGCCTTCACAGGTTGCTGAGCAGCCCTGGAAACAAAACCAACGGGAGGTCGCCTTCTCCAAGCCATGCCTGCCTTGGATGCTCAAGACGTACCCCAGGGGACGGCCCCCTCCTCTCTGCAATCTGGCAATTCACCTCGGTCCTCACCGCGCCGGCTTCACCGCGGCGGGATGCTGCTGAAGACGTGGATGACGTGCCCATGCCCCTGTCCCCGGGGACGGCTTGCGGGGCACGCAGCCCCAAGCCTCCTCTCGCACGGGTTTTTTCCCCCCTCTTTGGGATTTCGACTGTTCCTTGCACGAGGAGCCGGGACCAGAAAGCCGAGGTGGCATCGGGCGGGCGACGCTTCGGGGCCAAACCGCCGTGCGCGGAGCCAGCTATCAGCCGGCCCAGGAGATGGCCGGTGTCTGGGCGGGATGCTGAGGCCTCGTTGCACCAACAGGCCCAGACCGGACCCGAACCCAGCGCCGGGGGGGCTCGCCAAAAACACCTGCAAAACCCACGGGACGGCGGCACCCAAGCGGTGGGGCCCCCTACACTGCCAAGGGCACCCGTTGGGCCCCTGGGGGCTGCAGACCCTTTCGGGGCCGGCCCCAGCCCCACGTTCCTCC